CTCTGCAGCAGATTCACAGTTATGAGGAAAAAAAAAATAATAATAATCATCATCATCTAAGGAGCTTAGAAAGAAAAGCGACTGGAAGTTTCTTGAAGATATTTCACCTTTCATCCAAAAAGCTTCTTCAGTTCTAAAACCAAATCCCTAGTGGGAGTGTCCCTTAAGAGGGTCGTTGACCGTCTATTGATCATGTACCTCATGACATGAGGAAGTTTTGAGATCCCTTCCCAGGCATTTCAGATCTTGCAACAGATGATCTCACATGATTGGGGGAGGCAGGGTCTCACAATAGCCGCTTTTCCATTAGTACCTGCTCCGATCAACTCGCCTTGACTCGACTCGGATTGACTGGTTTTCCATTACAATTGAGTACCACCTAATGTGCGCGGTCGTTGTCATAGCAATGCATCAGAGCGTCCCATGACGTAATTAATACCCGACAAGAATGCTACAACAAAGGTGGATGTAGAGGCGATGATATACCTGCTGCTCAGTTTGTGGCTTTTTGTCAGACTTTTTTTTTTTTTTTTGTAGCTGTTTCACTTGTTGCTGGGTTCAAAAATAGTGGTTTTGATTTTTGTGAATGAGACACTCTCACTCATCGTGTGACTCATCGAGTGACGCCACTGACCAGCCAATCGGTGGCATGCAGTCTGATGACGTCACATTTTAGTACCTGCTCAGATCACTTGGAAACCTGCTGAGCGGGTACTGTTTTTAGTACTTGATACTATGAGGTAATGGAAAGTCCTGAAAATTGTGGCCATCAGTGACGGATCGATCAAAGTAGGTAGTAATGGAAAAGGGACTAATGGTTTCACCCAAACCTCTGCTGCTAATGACTCACACCTTTTTTCACACCATGGCTCATGCGATGAGGGACATGATCAATAGTGGGTCAACGACCCTCTTCAAAAGGAATAATCCTCACTAGGGTTTAAATACATGGGACTCTCAACCATTTGGTTTTCGAACTGAATAATCTCTTAGATGAGAGGTCAGTCAGTTTTCTTTCCAGGCTGCTTAGATTAGCTTGTCCTAGATGACTGAGAACCTACACAGACAATAATAAGAACTCACATCTCCTTTTTTTTCCAGCATCTGCAGCCACTCTCATCAATATCCGTAATGCTAGGAAACACTTTGAGAAGTTGGAGCGAGTGGATGGACCCAAGCATAGCCTGCACATGCGGATGCGCTAGCCTGTGCATTTGTCCTAGTGGATACTCTCAGCCAATCAGTTCACAGACAGCATGTTGCGGTCTCCTGGTGTCACATGAGCAGCCCTGCACCGTTTCGTCTATATCTTCATATTCAATCACAGTTATTACGCGAGAAATCACCTTGTTTTTGTTTTGCTCTAATTGTTACGGGAGAAGTGATAACAACTCGTTGGGAAATGTATTGTTTACTACAGAGGTGGGGGAGGGGAGGGCTACATTTGCTGTCACACTTTGTCATATTTCAGTAGATTCATTCACTCCATGCAGTGAATCCCAGTGATTGGGGATGTCTCTCCGTATGAGAAGCAGCAGATATTGTATGATTTGATTTTCAAATGTCGTTTGTAAGCTGTTACAAACAATATAGTTCTATTCAGAAAAATATTTGAAGTGTGGGGTGGTTTGTTTTTTGTTTTGTTTTGGGGGGGGTTCTGTTTTTAATCTTTGATAATACTAACTGCTTTTAGAAACAGGCGCTGTAAACAGATGTACACAGAGATGGATCAGAGATCGTTCTTATTGGTCCTTTTCTTCATTGTAGTCTCACCAGGCTAACTTGACAGGTGGCACCAGTTGTCTTGTACACATAGCAAATAGTGCACCTGTTAAGTGAGACAACTTCAGGGGATGGACAGCAAGTTACAGCGCAAATGGCATATTTTTGTTCATTTAATATGGCAAACAGCTGCTGAGTGTGTTAAAGTAGACCTATTTCCATTTAACTCATTTCCAACTCTATATTTTTATTGGATTCTGATGGAGTGGGGTTGTGTCTGGAAGCTGACCAATCACAAGAAAGTGACATTTTTGAGACCGTTGCCTTAAAGGGATGAGCTAAAAGGCCTTTTTTTTTAGACTGGAACTTAGAGACTGCTAAAGATCAGGTCTAAAATAAAGAATTTTTAAATTTTGAATCATGCAAAATGATGCTAAAGAAGTGCCAGAATACATGTTTCTACCTGGAATTGAGCACTGGGAACCAGTGATACAAGATTGATACAAGTGGCTCTCATGCTCACTTTTGCTCCTATTTTTCTATCAAAAAATTAAATGGAGCACAGGCCAACTGAATTTCAACATTATTGTAGTTTTGATGTCTGATCAGTTACCACAATTTCAACACATTTAAATTATAATATTGGGATCAAAACAAGCAGAGTATTAAAGTCTCCAAACTAAACTTTTCAGTCAAATCTAGCTAATCCATTCTCCTCTTAAGGCTATAAAACACTCACTTTATTAGGTACACTTTGCTAGTACTGGAGTGGACTCCCTTTCTTTCTTTTTTTTCGGCTGCACATCCATAATGCAAATAACCAGTTCTACAACATCTATTGCTCTGGTGTTGTGTTTGATTGAGATGTGGTGAGTGTGGAGGTCATTTGCATTCAGTAAACCCATTGTCATGTTGCAGAAAATAGTCTAAGAAGATGTGAGTTTGGTGAGATGGAGCCATCAGAAGATGAAAATGCTGGGTGTAGGCTGTGGTGTTTAAATGATTCTCAGTACGATGAGGCCCAAAGTGTGCCAAGAAAATATTTTTCTCCTTACACCACCAGCAGCAGCTTTCTGACACAAAATTCTGACCCTGCTATCTGAATGTCGCAGCAGAAAAGCAGACTCATCGGCGCAGGCAATGTTTTTTCAATCTTTTGACCAATTTTGGTCTTAATTGCAGCCTTAGTTTCCTGTTCTTGCACCATGTTTTGTCTTCTGTTGCTATACCCATCAGCTTCAAGGGTTGGCATGTTGTGCATTAAGAGATGCTCTTCAGCATATCTCAGTTGTAACCAGTGGTTTTTTGAGTTAATGTTGTCTTCCTGTCATCTTGAAGCAATCTGACCCCTCTCCTCTGATCACTGGGATCAACTAGACCTTTTCTCCCAGAGGACTGCCGCTCACTGGGTATTTTTTCTTTTTGAGATCATCCTCTGTAATCCTTAGAGATTGCTGTGCAGGAAAACCCAGCAGATCAGTTTTTTAAATACTCAGGCCAGCCTGTCGAGCACCGACAACCAACCACATGCAAAGTCACTTAAATTACCTTCTTCCTCATATGTCTAAATGCACTGATTTGCTGTGGTGCTGTTTTTCTGATCATTTATATGCATTTATGAGTAGTTGAACAGGTGTACCTAACAAAGTGGCCCGTGTATGTACCCAGAATAAGCCTTTCATTTATTTTTAAGTTTGGTTTCAAGGTTTGAGTGGTTTACATGTCATTTGTTTCTTATCAGAGAGAAACAGTATTTATTCATGTTGTCCATGGAAAGTAACTTGAGATTTAGTCATGGTACCTGATACCACCAACTCCTTCAGGGTCTGCAAGGGATATGGGCTATTATGCCTTGCCTCTTTACTGTAGCCAGATCTGATCCGGAGGCATTGTTCCAGTAGAGCTTATCTACAGTGTTCATGCGGTTGAGCTGTATCCTGGAATGCAGAGGCTGAATAGCTGGAAAATCCCCAGTCTCCCCCCGCAGTGAGTAACTTTGCATGAAATAACTGGGAGTAAGTTATTTCATATAGTGGTAGCAGATTGTTTATTTGAAGGTAAGACTTTGGGGAAAGTTGACGGTGAATAAACTTTGTAAAAAAATAAATAAAAATAATAATAATAATAATTTAAGGTCAATAACAAGTTAGACATGCACTAATCCATACATGCATAAAATACTTTAGGTGCCCTTTGTTGCCACCAAAACAGCTTTGAACCACAGGATCAAGGACACTGGGTTGTACTGTCGTGTCAGACATTAGGATTCTGGCAGTGGATCCTTTGGGTCCTGCTGTAATGGATCATCTTGTTTCCTCGCCTTGCATGGTGGCTGGATGCTGGATTTAGATGTTATCAGACTACAGAATGGCGAGTATTTGTTGTTATCAGTCCCATTCATATTGCTAATAGGCACAGAATTGCGTAGACATTTTTTGGTCCTGCAAAGAAGTGCACATAGAATCTCTGCCAGTAAATACCCAGTAAGCTTGCAAATATTGCCTTTTTACAATGTTGTTGACTCCTAGTGTATTTTAACCCAAATTATGATACTCTCCCCTACACAAGCTGTGTGTATGTTTTAAAGGTATCGTTATCAGTACTGATAGTGGCAATACTGGCCGGTATTCGATTGTTACCAAGTAAATATCACAGCATTAATATTTACAATGTGTATGTATGGGTTAGTAACCACTTATAATGGCTATTCAGTGGTTTTATACAACACTGATTTGGAATAACGGCACCAAAAGTTTCCCAGTAGAAGACGTTATTGTTACAGTTTCAATTCAATTCAGTTTTATTTACATAGCGCCAGATCAAAACAGTAGTTGCCTCAAGGTGCTTTATAATGGAAGGTAAGGCCTTACAAGAATACAGAGAAAACCTGAACAATGAGACGACCCCCTGTGAGAAAACACTTTGGCGACAGTTGGAAGAAAAACTCCCTATTAACAGGAAGAAGCCTCTGGCAGAACCAGGCTCAGGCCATCTGCCACAACCTGTTGGGGTTGAGGGGAGGGAGACAGGTCGCTGTGGAGGAGAACCAGAGATTAATAATAACTCAGTTGAGCAGTTATTCACTTAGCCCATTTTAAGTCACTTTGCTTAAAATGCAAGAAATAGGATCGTTCCATAGATGTCCCTCAAGAGCCCAAGTAAGTCTAACCTGCAAAATAAGGACACGCACAAAAAGATCCCTGTGCAGTTGAACACCGCAAACCATTTCTCTGTGGACCCCTTCCCCTCAAGGAGTGGTAAGAGACGATGTGTGCACACCCAGAGCGCAATATACAGTACATGGAGAGAACTGAGTCTCCCGCTGATGCAAGCAAAAACAAGATGTTTACAGGTGAACTAGAAACTGTAAACTGGAGCAGGTCTCGGGTGTTTAGTGTAGAATCACTCCCTTTATTTTGGTAGCATTTAAATACATCTTTAATTTACAGTTTAAAATATATTCTCATGTATTCCATCTTTTGTTTTGGTTTGATTCAGGAAGTAACTTTAAAACTTTATCTCAGTGTCACTGGTTTATGAACTCAAAGAATGCATGGTCATAGCAGTGTTGTAAATTTTCTTCTTATGTTTATTAACATGCAAACTTCTCTTTGCAATTGCTAAACTGATAAAACCTTCACATAATACAAGTAAAAGCAGAGAAAATGCATCGTATGGGTTTCTTATGGTCTTAAAGAGTCATCCCTATTCCGTTAGGTATTGATCTAAAGTCTTATTGGTGATCCATCTGTATGGGCAACAAACCCAGTCTCATTTTCAGTGACTGTCCCTGCACCTTCATCCATGTCATTCACATTTGCCTCTGCACAGCAGTCTGTTTGATTGAGGAAATGCTCCAGCAGAGTGACACGCTGCTTTAGCCTTTGCTGAGTGTGTGTGTATTCACTGAGTAGCCGGGCAAACCGAGTCTGAAGGGTGTCCAAAGAGGACTCCAACCGTTCCACCTTCTCCTCTGTGTCCTCTTTCTGTAGCCCGCCACTCTGAGCATTCTCATCCAGAAGACCCTCTTTCATCAGAATCTCCCGGCCCCTTTCCTCCAGCACAGTCTTAGCATCTGGATACTCAGTCACTGCCTCCATCAGGTCGTCCTTAGAGAGGCAGAAGAGGTCAGAGTAACCTAAGCTGCGGATGTTGGCTGTCCGACGATTTCCCATTTTACTACCTTTGATATTCAAAATGCTGATTTCACCAAAGCAGCTACCAGCAGTGAGGAGAGCGTACTGTGTGACCCCATCATCAGCCACCACAGCCAGCTTCCCTTCTTTAATGATATACATCTCTTTACCAATGTCGCCCTTTCTGCAGATGTAGTCTCCTGGACTGAAGACCTGAGGGCGTAGTTTAAGCACAAGCTCCACCAGCAATCCTGCCTCACAGTCTTGAAAAATCCGTACTTTCTTCAGGGTCTCCAGGTGGACATTAATAGCAATCTCAGCCCGCAGCTTGTTTGGCAAATTCTTTAGCACTTCCTGTTCATCTACTGCTTTCTTGTTGGTCCAGAGGTAGTCAAACCATTTGATGACACGTGTCTCCAGTTCTCTGCTGACTTTGCGGAAGTGCATGTAGTGTTTGATGGCATCAATACGAGCTTGAAATTCGGCACGGGTGGCGTTCATGTTGGCAATCATAGAGCCAACATTTCCCACAATTGTAGCAAAGATTAATACCCCAACAAGAAAGTCAAAGACCACAAACACGTACTCTTCATCTCGCACAGGGGGAGGCATCTCTCCAATGGTGGTAAGGGTAAGAGTCGACCAGTAGAGACAGTAGACATAACTCTGAGTCAAGGTGGAATACCCGGGTTTAGAGATGTTTGGGAACACCCACGTATCTGAGCCAAATCCCAGAGACTTAGATATAGCATAGAAGATGCAGGCATTCCAGTGAATGATGACCAGGATGTAAAGAACCAAGTTGCAGATGCGAAAGATGTTGGGGTAGTTGGTGCGTGTCTCTGTTCGGTCAAAGAATTCAAACATGCGTGGGAAGCGCAGCAGACGGTTAAACCTGAGCTGTGGTGTATGGATGCCTGTGGAGATGTACCCCAGGTCAGTGGGCAGGATGGACAGCAAGTCAAGCTTAAACTGTAATGTACGGATGTAGCTGTCTCTTAGCTTGGCGTGGTCCTTCACCAGCAAACCTTGCTCCAGGAACCCTGAGAAAAATAAATAAAACTCGTGTTTAGCTTGGTGGTGGATGAAAAAAAATAGAGGGCGGCTCAAATCAAGTTTTTATTTAACAAATAAACTGGTAGATTAGATCCTCTCAGCTTTAATTTTAGAGTCTTTAAGCACATTGTTCGGTTTTTTTGAGCTGCATAATTTGATAAATCCAAGTGGCAATCTCTGGGTCTGAAGCTAATGCCTAAAGGCCCTTTCACATAGGAAGTGGCATGGGTTGTGCTACATTGTGCTCTCAGACACATTCTTTACTACACTGCACCAAAACAGTTTCCTACTGTATCAGGCAAACCCCAGCACAACTGGAAGCACCCAGGGAATACTGGCACGTGCCACATACTTTGTGGTGTAATGTGACATACATTCTCGTGATCATACCAGTGCAGCTCATGCTGCTTCCTATGTGAAAGGGCTTTAATTGCACCAAACTGCATTTCCTCCAAAGGCCACAGGAGGCTAGCTCTGAAAATAGCCTTTTTATTTTTATTTTTATTCATATCACTGAACTAATGATATGGCTTTCTGCACAGTTAAAAATAATTAAAGCCCATTCAAGATGCTCTGATATTGTTTTTTTCCCCTCTTCACTAATAAAATTATATCAGTGCACAGGACAGTCTATTGATGCACCTTGCTAACCAAGCTAGCATTAGCTATAAATTAGCATGCAACATTCTTCCTCTACATGTGCTCCATGTAAAGTACCAAGAAGCAGATAAAGCTAGTGACTAGGTTAACTCTTTCTCTCTTGGACCATGACCAGGGGTAACCATTATTGTTTTTTTATGAACTCAGTTGGTTTCTGCCACATGTCAGGCCTGCTTCCACATCAGAAGTTAGAGAATGATCTCTGCCTACAGCTAACTAGGGCTACCATTGGAAACACCTGGGACCTCTATGTTTGCTAGACTTGTTTGACTTAGGTGTCAAAACTCATTAAGCATTTAGCACGCTTCAAGCGCTGGTGGACAACATGTCGTGCAAAAAAGTGATTACCCGTATTTAAACTGCTGTAAATAATTTGTTGGCCTATAATATGTGAAATATGTGTCAAATGCATGCCTCATATCAAGCCATCTAGAGCAAACATTAATCAGCATTCCTGTTACAAGTTAGAAGCCACACTCGCTTTTTGGCAAAATTACTTTATATATCCAGTTAAAAAATCTTGTTGACATTAAAAATGTCTTTTTTAAGGTGATCTGCCCAAGAGGGCAGCAGACATTACAACAAGTATAACAGTAATTTTGTAAACTAGACTGCTTATAATGTAGGTACAATAAACCAGAGTCATAAAGATACTTGAAAGATGGGTACTTTTACATTTTATAACCTCTTTCTAAATCTTGTTCATTAAAGTCTATTTACCAACATAGGTGTAGACTTTACATGTTAAAAAACCCCACCTGTAAACACTATAAATCACTTTTTGACAGACAGTCAGTTTTTGGCACAACACTAAAATAATGGTGTGTGCTGGAGACACACACACTTTTTCACGCACATTAATGGTTTTATTTCATCATGCATCCCTGATGTGTTCACAAGCAAATTTTAGCATAGGGTCATCTACTTGGTGATATTGTTATTTAGTGAATGTTGTAACTAAAATGTAAAGTTAGTTTGCATTTGATGTGTAAATAAAAGGAAGCAGCGAGGTTTGAATTAGAAAGCTGAGAAAATATAAAATGAACGGAAAACACTGACTCATTCAGCAGAGAGGAAACTATGTCATCAGAGTAATCTAAAATTTAAGAAGGCCAGAAGCTGCATTTTTAGGTGGCTTACCTGTCCGGAGTCGAACACAGGTGTCTGTTATGTATAGAGCATCAGAGAGGTAGTCCAGCACCAGCCAGCAGATGTAGTTGCTCACTTGTAGTTCGTCAAAGCATGCCCTGGAAATGCATTTTAAAAGGATTTAGTGCTCTAGTCTAAGAAGTGAACACTACACTGTACACCCTCTGGAGGCTGCAGGGCCCCACTGACGCACATACTGTAATGTTATTACCTCGCGACAACAAGGAACCAATTGTAGAGCACCGCCAAGGCAATAACAAATAACCAGCGGTAGTATACGTCATCGGAGGGAGACACCACAAACAAATCCCACTTTTTCCTGTAAGCAAAAGGAGACTGTGATTATGACACTCAGCAAAAACTGTTAGTGCACATCAACAGAGAGAAAAACAGCAATATAATGCATCACAACACAATAGCTATATAATTATTTGTTAACAGCCATATGAGACAGCTACTTTTTTTGTAAATGTGACATCTTTCGGGTCATTTTAAAATATTGTGACGTTCTACTAAATGTAAAATATTTAAAGCTCAGTTGATCTATCTTCTTTTCCTTACATAGCACCTTGCAGTAAACCTATATTTCAGCAAGGACAACATAAATTACAGCCTCAGCACTGAGCGGAATAAACACTGTCTGTAACTCTGGGTGTCTCTACAACTTAATAAGACCTTTCAAGGATTTATTTTAGCCATGAAGCAGAAGGTCCCGTCGTGATTTGTACAAGTGTAACTCTGTACTCCTTATGCATGTACATGAAGGTGTACATAGTAAAGGTTCAGGGTGGTAGCCGGGCATACCTAAAGATCCCTTTGGCATTGTTGCCATTGGCATCCAGTTGTGTGTTGCTGATGCGACTGGGGGCCGTTCTCAGCTCAGGGCCACGAAAGCGTTCCAGGAAAGAGTCTGGCCTCTCCTCCTCCTCCAAAAGACTCCTGTGTGCCCATTCCCGCAGTCTCACCACCAGGCTCACCAGTCTGACACACAAAAGGAACACAACACCGCATCTTTAGGCAGCTTTATAACTTAAAATCATGTCAAAATGCATCAGTTCAAACACAGTTAATGTGCGAAACCATCACAGAGCTGCAAATTAGAGCACATGATTTGAGAGCTCACTTTGTCTTTCCTTTTCTATCTGTAGGACTGGAAAATCTTGAAATGCCTGAATGAAAAAAGGGACTCTAAATTCCTGCAACCCATCAGAGGTCAAAGGATTTTCACTGGACAAATGTAATGAATTTTGTAGCAGTCGACGACCTTCATGAAAAAAGACAAAAAGCTCTTCTATAGCCATTTCTACAAAGCCAGACCTTTGCCACAAAAAAGTTATTTAATATGTAATAAGAGCTACACAATAATCTTTCAGCTCCTTGAATCAGTCCATTTGAAATTGCCATACCATACTGACGTGCCACAGCTGAGTCATCACAGGTTTACCTTGAGATCGCTCCGGTCCTTTGAAAAGAATTTCTTGAACTGCCTCCATGAGGGTCGAGAGCAGCGACTCTTTGCAGCTCCGAGGATGTGTCATCACAGATCGATGGGACCCTAGTAGGAAAAAGTGACAGTCCGGCTTCTTTAAGCCATTACGAGAGCCTCTGTTTTGTGTCTCTGAACAAAACCTCTGAGAAAAACATAATGAACATGAGGAAGCTCTTGTTACCTGCTGAGAATGCTCTCTGCTCTCTCGATTTCCTCCTCCAAGCTGGTCTTCACTGACAGATTGTGGGGAGACCGATCTCTCTCTGCCAGCTGGCCCGTCATCTTTAGATCTGACAGTACGGACAAACACTAATATTAAAGACCCACTTACACCTATTTAATCCATATTGTGGAGTGTTGGACATGCTCTCCTGCTTCAGTTACACTGTGGCAGGAGAGAAAAGTGTTTATGGTGCATGTCTCAGATAATAGTCAGGGGACTGGGGCGGTGGGGGACAACTGGGACTGTGGTAGATAGTCCCTAACCTAGCCCATCATACAGCAGGTGGTTGCTGTGACGACTCATGAGAAATAAAAAGCTCAGTTTTATGGACGCAGCAGCACTTTAGATACACAGTCAAAGTTCAGTTAAAGCCCAAAAAGTCACATTAAGGCTGCTGTGACACTTTCTCCCTGCAGCACAGACAGATGATGAGGTGCTTAGATGACTGTTACCATTGTGTGACTAATTGGTGGGTCATTAATGAAAACACACACACACACACAAAGCCATCCTGGAGCTCTGCGGCTCAGTGAACCAGTCAGCTGCTTTCCCTCAGGAACCACATCGCTTAGGAAACCAGGCTGCTGAGAGAGCGCAAAGTGTGGCATGACATAACAGCACGATGGCTGCTGAGGCCACAAAGAGTGATAATTCACCCCTAAAGTCATCCAGCTGCCTGCCAGTCCACACTCTGTAACTTTACTAATGTGGAGATGAGACTTTTTTCCCTCTACTTTTGCAAATAATTATTAATTCCGCTTATTGAATATGTTACGCAACACAACTTTTTTCCACAGTGCTTCACAGCAAATGTAGATTACTAGCATCATAATAAAGTATATGCCAAACTGGCCTCAGCTTAAACATATCAGCCTACCTCTGGTTTCCTTGAATTAGTCCAAAAAAAAAATCCTCATGGTGACTTCACACAGGGACACCAAGAGCTGGTCTTCACCAGCCAATCCATCCTTTGTGCCCACGCCGGATGCAAGTCCTGCTCTTGCACCATTCTCGGTTGTGAGCCTCCTCTCGAAGAGCGCTCTCCTCACATGCGTGAGCACGTGGTCCACCTCATCCTCAGATGGGCTGAGTGCCGAGGAAGCAGGTAGGGGTGGGAGATGGAGGGTGTGGAAATCTTTCAAGTAGTTGAGAGCCTTGATGTCAGCATCAGACTGAAGAGTATTCTAGGAAAACCTTGTTCCTTTTAACTTTTATTACTCAGGAGAATCGTGAGAAACAGAACAAAAGAATGCAGCCAGTTCATCTGATTTATTTGATTTTCTTTATATATGTAGTCTGGCTGATTCATATTCTCAGCATTTCTTAGTCTGACATTTTTTATATTTGCTTGACAGCTCATCAGCATTTGTAACATATCGGCTTAATGACATATCATAACCCTTGTTCGCTTGTGAGCCCTCTCATAAACACAATGATAACTTTTCTTAAGCTCATTCATGTCTGAGCAGATGGGTCATTTTAACAGTAGTCGGTTTGGCTCAAAGAGGTGTGCAGTACAAAAAAGGAAGATTAGCAGAAACAGAAACATGAATGTAGTCAAGCATATGCTGCTGCTTCTGCGCTGATTCCTACTATGAACTATCTCATTACATTGCATATAATAAATGTGAGGAATTAAGTATATTTTGCTCACAGTACCTTTGTACTAACATATGATTTTTGGGCTGTACACTTATATTTGTAGACTTACTGTGAAACTTTATCCATCCATCTATTCACTTCTGCTTATCCTTATCAGGGTCGTGGGGGGTTGGGGCCTATCCCAGCTACTATAGAGTGAGAGGTGGGGAGCCAGGATGTACCTTAGATATAAGGTAAAACACGAACTTAGCCTCTTTTCTTTATGATCTAGGATGGGAACATTAGGATCTGTGGGATATTTATGATTATTGACAGTTTGATCCTGAGAGTTTGACTTGAAATATTTTGCTTAATCTTCTCTTGTTGACAAAAAGTATCAAGAGCAGCGATGTTTAGGAGTCTAAACCTTCACCACAGCCACCACTCTCCACTGCAAATGGAGCTTGAAAACCCAGGCGATGGGGACCACACGAGACTTCTTCATAATCATGCAGCTTTCCGACAGAGCCTGGCAGTTTCCGCTTTAATCAGATCCTCAAAAACTTAGTGGGAGTGAAGCCCAGAGGACTTTCCATCTGAATAAGATTCAGCCCAGTGAACAGTAAACTTCAATCTGCCATTACTATCTCTGTTGGGCAACGAGATTGTTGATGGACTGTGAAGAGACGAGTAAAAGCAGAAACTGTAAGTGCTTTGTTTTTTTCTTTTACAGAGGTTTTTTAAAAAAAAAAACAAATAAAAAAACAGGTGGGGGATTTTATGGTGAAAAAGAGGAAGAACATAAAGCATAAAGGTAGTAACATTAACAGAAGCTCAGATAAGAGGAAGGAGAAGCAGTAAAAAAAAACAACAGGTATCTGATGTAAGAGGCGCTTGGAAACAAAGAACTTCCTCCTGAGTACATTTTGGGATCAATCATTCACAAAACAAAAGATCTAATACACTGAAAGTACTCGGAGAATGCTTAAAAAAGTCATGTTTAACATCAGTTTAAACATATTAAATGTTAGTGTTTTTAGACTTGTATGTATCCTCTTCTATGGTTACTTGTAACCATACCAACCACTGTTTGTTCATACCCTTCAAGATGTTGAGCCAAGATGATGCATTTCTTGCATGATGAATCCAGCATCACTAATTATACTTAATACGTCACTTTATTCAGATAAACTGATATATTACCCATGTAAAAGACACAGACATGGTCACCAACAGTGCATTTAAATGATGCTCAGATGGCACTAAGGGCCCCAAAGTGTGTCAAGTAAAAAATTGTTGGTATAATCCATACTTTCATACTGATTACACCAAATTCTGATTATACCTTCTGAATGGTGCAGCAGAAATCCAGACTCATGAGACCAGGCGACATTTTTCCAATCGTGCTATTTTCCAGTTTTGGTGAGCCAATGAGAATTATGGCTTAGTTTTTGTATTCTTAGCTGAAAGGAGTGGCACCTTGTGTGGTCTTCTGCTGCTGTAGTCCAACTGCTTAAAGGTTAGACATGTTAGCTTTCAGACATGCAGGTATTTGTGTTTAACAAGAAACTGAATATGACATCTTACATCTTTGTTGCTATGCAGATGATACCCAGCTTTATTTTTCCATGAAGTCAGTTAGGTAAACTACAGGCATGTCTTATAGACATTGAAGCCAGGACGACCTCTAAATTCATGCTTTTAAATCTCCACAAAACTGAATTTATTGCAATCTGTCCTAAAAATCTTAGCGACATAATGTCTGTTGCTCATAGTGGGTTGTGTAGATGCGCGAGGTAGGTGTGTGAGGTTTGCTTCTAATATTGTAGAGACTTTATCTTACAATGTAAAGTCCCTGAATTAGTGCTATATAATTACAACATAATGTTTATTTTGATCTACAAGTAACCAAAGCATCCACTTTGATCTAATTGTAGCCAGGTGGAAGTTCGATATTATGGGACATGCCACTGGATGGCGCTGTTTCTTTTGGGGTACCCCTGAGAGCGCAAGGGATCATGGGGATCTACAGAGACATTCACGGGAGTGCTAGCTTGCATTGGTTTTATGTGGGTGTGCAATGCCTTTTTTTTCGCTGCGTGATCTGTTTTGAATGCAAAGTGTGCAACAGTTAAGGCACCAGGAGTGGCTGCAACCAACTTCGCCGTTCATCTCAGAGGGATCTATGTTCCGTTTTCTGCTGAATTAATGCACTGTATGAGTATGTATGAGTTCACACTTGTATTATACTATCTCTGTGGGTAAGAGGGAAATGTACCTTGTTAACTGTTTAATCTTGGCTCTGTATCTTAGCAGGAGAAGCCACTACAGTTATTTTTGCACTGCTAAGTTTTGTTTTATTTATGTATGGGTTTATATCAGACACAAAATGACGCTAGACGTCCTTGAGTTCCAGATGCTGATAAAGTTGGGGAAATAACCTGCAGTAGCAGTGGGTTACCAGTGCACAAAGCTGTTACTGGATAAGAACTGTCTGTAACAATTTTATTTCTTTATTTTTACAACCTTTTTTATTTTCTTCTGAGCACTTACTTTATCATTCAGATTAAAAGAACCCCAAAGATAATCTGTGTTCTGGGCTGGTTAATTTAGCCAGGCTACACAATGTTGTAAAGTGAAAACAAAATAGTAAATTTCATTTTTTTAAAGAAAAGTGGAAGAGCTTAAAAGATGAACTTGTGGTCAGAAATAACCACGATCAAACAAAAGACTGGTTTTTCCAAGGCATATTTATTGTTGCATGTAAAGCCCTTAGGAATAGACATGAACACGAGACCAAATACAATCTGGCCATTGTCATAGAGTATCATAAAGCTACCTGGAATGAAGTTGCAATTTATATTTGGTAACAGTGAATACAAAAGGAAAGGAAAAACTCAACGCATGAGTGCAAGTTGTCTTTGAGACAAGAAGGCACAGCAGAAGCCAGGAGAATCCAGTCAGCCTGCTCTTCATCCAACGTAACAGATACTTTAAAAAACAAAAACCCAAACAACTAAGACCAGAAACACCCAAAGAACAGCATTTACATCGCATAATGATCCCAATAAACAAACAAATGACGAGTACAAGAATACAGATCGCACATCACCATGGTCTTTACTATGATCAGACCTTATGGCTTCTGTATATGGATATGTAGACGTTTACGTTGCCAGTTAAGATGCCAGTTTAGGCCATGGTTTTACTTCATCAAGTGAGAGGAAATGGTTGTCTGATGCCTCTTCTCTTTTTATTCCCCCTCCCCCTTCCCAAACATTTACCAAGCATTTATTCATAACTATGGTATTTGGGAATGTGTTTTGCTTACTCAAGGCTATAATTTACTTATCGAGCTGAGTAAAAATATGTAAACAACCTTGCAGCTGCAAACAGGCACGCTCGCTTAAAAAACACAAAACAAAACAGCATTCTTACACGTTAAGAGTTCTGCATACTGAAACTGTAAAGATGATCAAAGTCTTTAGAAATTTTAGTTTTGCAGCCTCACTTTAAATAAGATGAAAGCACATTATTCTTCAGAAAACACCTCTATTAATCAGAAGATGCAGGGACACATGCAAATGTATGATTCTGACACACAAGAAAAAACAAAACAAAACATAATTCCTTCGAACGGGGCAGCTCTCTCAAAATGCTAATGGCCTGTGGGTATGAGTAATTGTCACAATGATTCCAGCTAGTTAGACTCGTTTCATCCCCCGACCCATCAAGCAGGCAAAGACAGTCATCACCATTTTGGGCTTGACCTCCACGAGGTCTTCTGGGAGAGCGTAGACGCGGGCTCCAATCTTCCTCGCCATGGAAATGGCATATCTAGAGAGGATACAGACATGGTAAGTTATATAAAAGCTGGTCACCCCTACTTACCAGTATATGGTCAAAAAGCTGCTTCTCCTTCTTTTTGTCCTTACTTGGCATTCTCCAGCTTGTCGTCGTCAGAGAGTCTACCAGTTTTGATCAGATCATAGTCAATGCTGCCAGGCTGGATGGCGTCTATGAGTTCCAGTACTGCCAAACTGCTGCTGATCTCCTTGTCCTGATCGCCACATAACACACAGATTAGGGCTCCGACCCACACATGGAGCCGTCTCAGCAAAATGAGACCCCAACCGAATCACATGACTACATCTTTTTACGCTGCTCAATGCTGATGAGGGCTGGTTTACATATGTAGAGATGTCTGATTCTCCAATGTCATTTTACCTTAAAACTTGAAATCTTGGCTGATTTTCCAGCCTCTGCCAATGTTTTGTTCACCCAGCGTACAATGATGTCATCATTTACTTTCTCTCCATCACCAAGGTCCTCCAGTACATTCAGCGTATATCTGAAAGAGTAGAGAGGCAGAATATTTATTACAGGACTGAACAGAGAACTCCAGTTTTTAACTAAAAGACCAAAGACAAAAACATCCTGGCAAACACTGGCAACCGATTGTGGGATGAGCATTTTTCCTTAGTGATTAATGGCTACCATGGGGTCAATGACTGGGGCACAGTGATCAATTTCACAGTGACTTCCAGCAACCTCCAGAAACCACTTGCAGCCAGTTAAATACTCATTTTTCCCTGGCAACCAATTGTTCCCAAATGCTGTAAATGAGGATAAGAAGTCCCTTTAAAATATAATGATGCATAACTTTATTATTTAATGTACTACATATACTATGTGTACTACATATGATTTATAAAGGTTGCTAATGCCACTTAAGGCTTAAAAACCAAAGTTTGCAATCTGTGTTACTGTAGAATGTAAACAATTCAGAAAATTTGTTGTTTTATATTTTTTAAGTGTTTAAAAATAAGTCAGCTGGACACAGAAATGTGCTATGCATGCTCAGCACGCCAGGCTGTAAACCTTTTCCTTATCTTGTTGACTACAAGAAAAGCAGAAACGCAGAAACAAAAGGAAGGAGGAACTTCTACTTGATTCTATTCCTGAAATCACACGGTGTTGTACTTTTTGTACCTTCTCATCAACTGCCACACCAGTGCTAGAGTCAAGGTAGCATTGCCATCATTCAGGTCCTGCCCGCCGATGCCAACGAGGGAGAACTTGGCCGTTTTGCCCAGTTCCACTGCATAGTTACAATTCTCCAGCTGGGAAATATAAATTAAATAGTTGGAGAAAGCCAACATGTTTCTTCTTGAATCTAAAAGAATAAGGCCATTAGGTCTACCTTTTTCATGTTGGTTCCCAGTTTAGGGTATGGTGGCTTGTTGACCTTGTTGTTCCAGTCAACCGGCACTTTAATCTTATCATAGAGCTGAAGGATGACCAGGGCATCCTGTAGGTCTCTGGAAGAATAGTGAGCATTGTAATTAATAATAAACATTAAATAAGACAAAAAGAAGAAGCTAGTATCCCACTTTTTTGTTTCAGATGCCAGGAAGTTTACTTACCCATACAGATGATTCACGTGTGGGTTCACTCCCAGGGAGTTCATCCAGTTTCGGAACGTCCTCTCTTCTCTCGTCTCACCTGGACAGTACAGGATTGTGAGTCTTAAGGAACTTAATGATGAATGTATGTAACTATACAAGTGAACAGTAGATTCTTTCAAGCAGATTTTTTTTTTTAATTAATTTTGGAGATTTCTCATGTTCATTTTCTGCTTTTCCATCAAAGATGGTTCCTGACTGCATCAAACTTTTTGTTTTACTCATTCACCCATAAATAATGTAACAGAGAAATACTACAGATCCCTGGGGCCTCTTGTATCTTCCAATTTAGCTTTCATTTGATTACCACCTGTGAACGTCTTGATAACCCACCTTCCAACAGTCCCCAGTCAATATCCTCATTCTCAGGTTTGGTCAGTGCTGGATATTTATTAAACAGATTGGCCACGAAAGCAAGGTTGAGTTTGGGGTTTCCACTGACAACGTCAGCTGGAGTGACAAACTGCCGACAGCCGAGTCTGTCAGCCTGCTGCAGCATGGCATCTGCCCTCTTCATGTCGTCTTTCTCCTGAACAACACACACACACACTTGAGTCAGAGGCCCTGTACAGCTGCTGGCATGTGTTGGAGATGCTCAGCTGTGAGCGCTGACTGTCAGAGTGCTTACATTGATTCCTGCCATGTTGATGTCTATGCGTGGCTTATCCTCATCTGTGCCTTTTGGAGAGATTTGATTCAGAAGGTGGAAATAGGCTCTTGAATCCTAAATAAAGGAAAACAAAGAAAGAAAATGTAGGTTCCTGCTATTGGACAAACAACAAAACCTGCACTCATTTTATCTTATTAAAGGCAGCTTCACTCTGAGAAAGGTGATGATAAACTTGATTTAGTTTCAGAACAACTTCAACAGGGACAAAAACTGAACTTTAGAAGTTTTTAGAGGATCACATCGCTAAATGTTATAATAATGAGAATTAATCAGAAACAAAAAAAACAAATGCAGAGCTTGAGAAAAATACATACACATACAGGTGCATAACTGTATACAAAATGCTGTACATCTGACGTAGTGGCACCTTTCACCTGAACTAACTCACTAAAATGCATGTTGCCACAGAAAGACTGTGTCTTTGTCTTAATCCCTACATACACAGCTAAGCCTGAGACACTACCCACTCATTCCTATTTTTGGAAAAGATAAGTGGATATTTGGGTAAGTTTGTACAAACATGTGCTACCTGTCCAGGTGGGCTGACAGACGCCTGTGTTGGTAGACGTAGTTATTACCGGAGTGAAAAACAAGTCAAAAATGGATTTAAAAAGCCCCGTGAAGAACCTTAAAAGCCACATTAAACCTGTAATATTATGTTCTAAAGTTTTGTTTAGTGTCCCTCTCTCTGCATCTACTATTTAGATGCACCACCTGGATTCAGTGCCAGTGAGTATACTCACTTTAATGTCAGAGCTGAAGTTGTTGATCTTCTTCTGTCCAGCATTTTCCAGGTGAAAGTTTGCCCAGCGTAACAGCAGTTCTTCTGGTGACAGCTTCATCAGGTCCTCGAGAGTTTCCCCATCCCTCAGCAATGCCGCCAGTGCTGTTCAGGAGCATTAATCATCACTTAAACTGCTTGAAAACAGACTGGGGGAACAACAGGACTGAAGCGCATGTTATTTAATGCCCTGTACCTTCATTTCTGCTGAGCTCAATGTCAGCAAAGAGACCGATCTTGATGATCTGCCACAGCAGGCCCAACACCAGATGGGGCTTCCCTTCTCTCAGGTCTAAAGCACCAATATTCACCACATGGCACCCAATGGCTGAAGCCGAGTTCAGGGCCAGGTTTAGATTCTCCTGTAAGGCACAAATTAACAGTTAACAAAACAACAACAACAACAAAAACATTTGCTAAAAAATGTGAGGGGGAAAAAAGCACCATAAGAAAAAACTGGCTGACCTGTATTGTGAAAGGAGTCAACTTCTTCTTATTTATGGTCCTCTCATCAATCGTGTCGGGCACTGACAGGTTGATCATTTTGCTGTGCAAAGAGTAAAAAAAACCCACAAACATTAACATGTCTGATGCATGTTGTTAAGGAGACAGAAATCCAAATGTTTATTGTCTCTAAAGCATCTGTGTTTGTGAATATTAAGCAACTTGGGCGTAAATATCTAACTTTTAGGGCATCATGGTTGGAAAGATTTGCATTCACAGTTTAAGTAAATTTGTGGCACTTTTTTAAACTTTAACATAAATTCAAACATGTGATGTTTAACTGATTCTTGCTTTTATATTGTAGCAACATAACCTTAACAAACTAACAATATCCTTTTATGTTGCAACTTAATTAGCTGTATCAGAAATATGTTTAACATGAAGGACTGTTACTTTATTACTTCAGAGCCATTGGTGTCAAAAACACTTAAGTAAAAGTAATCATATATTTTCTCAGTCTTATAAACTGAGCTTGAGTTAATGTAAAACTGATGTATGTTTAAACAGTTGTACAGTATCACAAAACATAATTCAGCATGTAATAAACAAAATCAGAGCTTTTGTTTGCCAGGTCACAAAAATGCAAATGAAGGGTGTGAAAGGTGGATATTAATTTGAACTCCAACTCAGAAGCAAATGTGTGTGTGTATTGTTTTTTTTAAAATATATGTTTTGGGATTTTGAGGCATTACAGGGATAAAGCAGCACTCCGAGGCCCAGTGGCTTCAAGCCCGGGCATGCTGCATTAGCCTCATGGTGATAGGGTCGCCTGCTCAACCCAGGAAGCCACGCCGGCACCTCAAACAGATTTTTAAAAGTAGCCAATTCAAACAGTGAAGCATCATTTTGAGCTTTGACCAGTCCAGCTGCAATTCAGGCACAGACAACGCGATCTCTTTAGACCTCTATATGTTGATATAAAAACTCATATTTTTTAATATGAACAACCTTTAGAGCAGTGTTAAGAGCTCAGTGAGGGACAGTAACAGGAGCACCCACCAGAGTACGATACCGTCTCCAACACACGTGAAGAGGGCGTTTGTGTTGGGATCCATGGGCAGAACATGTTTGCAGTCAGGGTCTTTTTCCAGAGCGGTGTTGATCCAGTTCACAAAGGCGTATCGCTCCTCCTCTATGAGGACAAACAGACACAGGTTAGTTAAAATCCAAACACCAACAAGGTAACGTGAGTGGGCTGCTTATATCACCTAATTTCACTAGGTCACATTGTCTAATATAGATTACTTCAGTGTTAAATGAAGCGCCTGCACCTGAACTGCAGAGGGTACAAAGTCAACAGCTCATGACAAACACTGGCAGCAAACAGTGCCAATGAGGTTGGGAATCTCTGACGTACCAGAGAACGAATGTTGTGTGCCTTCACTTGACAGCTCAGACGTCCCTCCAATAGCCAGGATGCCTTCCTTTCTGTTGATGGCCTTGCGGAAAGACTTGGATATCTGGCCGGCCTTCAGTTCATCAACAATCTAAAATAACAGCAAAGAATGGTTAGAAATGGCGAAGGCTGAAGGCTATGGCGTGTTTGTGTTGCATTTAAAGACACTGATTTGGGATTATGTCGTAGTAATCTCAAAAAAAGTGGTGGAAATAATCCAAATTTACGAGAATTGGAATAGATAAAACACCATCATTTACCAGTACCTACAATGACTGACTCAGCATAACAGACCAATGAAAGACACTTCCTTTGAATTACATTTGATTAAACAGGTATGTGTCAAACTACTGTATGAGTATCTGAGCAAATTTACTAAAGATCACGTTCAGATCAGCTGCATGTTATTTATAATATGATTATTCCGGCAATTTCATTTGTAATTCAGCATTTTAATATTATTTTTTCTATTTTTTTAAATCGGAAATCATTTGGAAGGGTTTGGACCATTTTTGAATTTTTTGACTTTTTTTTCCCCCCCAATGGAATCAGCAGACTAATCAATGAATCACAATCAGTGAAACAAACAATCTTTATTAAGTCATACTTCTGTGCAAAAAGCCTCAACCATCTTCTCTCCTGTTACTGTGGTCTCCTGCGAGCCACCGTGGCAGCTCAGGTTGCTCGGCAGACACAGGAGATCTGCTGGAATTTCTCCTCAGTGGCACGAAAACATAGCCCTGTAGCCAGCAGGTTGGGTTAAGAAGATATGGTGAGTATCTAGGCTAGTAGCTGAGGTTTTGACGGCATCAACAAGCTTTAAAGGTCCAGGATGGCCTCGGGTTGATGAGATTATGACAGAAACAGCTACAGCACTTATCCTCCAAATTAAACACCCACATATTTAAACGTCATTTAACAATAATAATGGGAGCAATATGTGGTGACAGTTCTTGATATGCAGCGTATCTTATCAGTAAATCGCAACATGGGAGAGAATTGAAACCAAGCTGGTTCAATATGTATTCAGTAGGAATGTATGTGATACTTCCTGCAGCCGGAGTTATCAGAGCTTCATCAGTGGCCTCGCCTCCACAGCTGTCGGTGTGACCACAATGAGCTGCTGGGCAAACTAGCACAGCACTCTTTACATGCAGAAGGCCACAGGATGCTAGCTTGCACTTCCTACCCAGTGTAGGTGAAAGAAGCAACCGCAACAACACAATAGCAGCCTTGTGGAGGTTATTAATACTTTCAGCCACTTCTGCTCATTTTGATTCATCTTTCTTGCATAATGGCACATGTATGTCTATACATGTCATTATTATCTGTACATGGACCGTGCTGGATTGCAGATCCCAGCTTTGCAGTGCCATAAAAAATACCTAATCAATCAGACTTGTGCCAGACAAGATGTTGGGAAGGCTCAATTGTAAAAAAAATGTGATAGCCAAGGAGCAACAGGGTCTCTTCTGTGAGTTCATATCCAAAGAAAAAGTGAAAACATCTTTTTGTACTTATTGTACAAATTCCCTCGTATACATCACACTACATCAGTGTCTTTGAATTGCCTTTTTATATGTTGATGTTTCTAATGTCTAATTCAATAAAATTTTAATTATTAAATAAATACATACATACATAATTAGTCAGTAGATGTTTGGACCAAGGGTGATAACATTTTGGGGTGCTGTTTGTGATCCCAAGTTTTGACTGATAAAGAATGCAGACTGTACAAGAAGCTGCTACTGTGAAGGATTAATCATTTCTTCAGTTTATCACTTTCACGTTCCTGCAGTATGCTTGTATGCATTTGTGGCATGTGGATGCTTTTCGGCTCTGCTTAGAACGTACCGAGGTAAACTCGTTAAAGTTTAGCTTTTCATCATTGTCTGTATCGAGCTTCTGGATGAGCTCTCGAAGCCTGAATCCTGGCAGCGGATGGCCGATGTCTTTAAGAAGATCACCAAGCTCTTGTTTAGAGATATTCCCATCTCCATTCTTATCTATAAGAACACAGAAAGAATCATCAGATATGGTTAAACCAACAGTAACAATGACGGCAATAAAAAGAAACACGACTTTTACTTACCGTAACTTTCAAATATCTGTCTTATCTCCTCCCTTTCTTCTTGTGTTAGCTTTGCAGACATTTTTCTGAGATTGACCTGAGCTGGTCAGTCAAAGAAAGGTGTGACTGTGAAGAGAGCAGAGTCACAACATCTTAAAAATAGTTTGGGAGGAAAACAGCAGCTTTATCACTCCTGCAAACTCACCCACACTGCTGTCACTTTCTATGCATTCAACCAGCAAAGGGAGTGGCATCGACACGCAGCAGATAAGTGAACCTTTTATTTTCTGTCAGGCCTAAAATAGCTTCATTTACCTATCGCTTTTCCTTTTCCTTAATCAAAGTCACGTCCTGTTAGTTTTATTGTATAGCAGCAAGCCCATTTTCCAATGAAACTACTAGATGAGTCAAGATGTCATCAGCCTTTGGTTGACTAAATGATTACTCTTCAGTTAGTATACTATACAGTAAATCTTGTAAAATATAGATTTTTTTTAACTACAATGTTTTATTTTTATTGTGTGCCTATACTACAAATCAAATCGACAAAGCAAGTTAAATCTTTTTACTGATGGCTGCAATTAAAAAGTGGTTAAGACCATGCATGCAGTTTGAAATAGACTCAAAAGACTCAAGCAGTTGGAAAGACTCAAAAGCCAGGGATCTCTAGACAAACGTGCAAATGTGAAACATTTGTGGGGTGTTATCACCAAAATGCATCTGAAATTAAATGGATTGACCTACAAACAATCAACAAAATGTGCAATCTGGGATTCCAGTGCCAATCACTACATGACTTAAGCACCTGTGATGAGCTTTGCACACATCATGGACAATCACACATAGCAGTGACCATGACAGGGACAGTTGACCTTTAGCTTAGTAAGGCAAGGCAAGGCAAGGCAAGTTTATTTGTATAGCACAATTCAACAACAAGGTGATTCAAAGTGCTTTACAGAGACATTAGAAACAAAAACAAATAAAAAGCATGATTTAAAATTGATTAAAACAAGCAAACAAACAAACTAATTAACAAACAAACAAAACAGTATATAAAATCAAAACAGATAAAATCAGAACAATAGATAAAATCAGTAGTTAAATGTAAGTTTTGAAATTTAAGCTTAAAAGTGTGGATTTGGTGCTTTATTCAAATGCAGCTGAGAACAGGTGAGTCTTCAACCTGGATTTAAATAAACTGAGTGTTTCAGCTGATCTGAGGCTTTCTGGGAGTTTGTTCCAGATATAAGGAGCATAAAAGCTGAATGCAGCTTCTCCGTGTCTGGTTCTGACTCTGGGAACTGATAAAAGACCGGATCCAGATGACCTGAGGGATCTGGAAGGTTCATACTGGGTCAGGAGGTCACTGATGTATTTTGGTCCTAAACCATTCAGAGCTTTATAGACCAGCATCAGAACTTTAAAGTCTATCCTCTGACGGACAGGCAGCCAGTGTAAAGACCTCAGAGCTGGACTGATGTGGTCCACTTTTTTGGTCTTAGTGAGGACTCGAGCAGCAGAGTTCTGAATGAGCTGTAGTTGTCTGACTGATTTTTTAGGTAGACCTGTAAAGATGCTGTTACAGTAATCAAGCCTACTAAAGATGAATGCATGGACTAGTTTTTCCAGGTCCTGTTGAGACATCAGATCTTTTATCCTTGAAATATTCTTGAGGTGATAGTAAGCTGACTTTGTTATTGTCTTAATGTGTTTTTCTAAGTTTAGGTCTGCATCCATCACTACACCCAAATTTCTCGCCTGGTTTGTGGTTTTTAGATGTATAGATTGAAGTTCTCTGGTGACCTGTAATCGTTTTTCTTTGGCGCCAAAGACTATTACCTCAGTTTTGTTTTTGTTTAGCTGGAGAAAATTGTGGCACAACCAGTCATTAATTTCCTCAATGCATTTACCAAGAGCCTGTACAGGGCCTCGGTCTCCTGGTGACATTGTGATATATATTTGTGTGTCATCTGCATAGCTGTGATAGTTTATTTTGTTGTTGTTTATAATCTGTGCCAGTGGGAGCATGTAGATGTTAAACAGAAGGGGTCCCAAGATGGAACCTTGGGGAACTCCACATGTGATACTTGTCTGCTCAGATGTGAAGTTACCTATTGATACAAAGTATTTCCTGTTTTCTAAGTATGTTTTGAACCAGTTTAGTACAGTTCCTGAAAGACCTGCCCAGTTCTCCAGTCGTTTGAGTAATATGTTGTGGTCAACTGTATCAAATGCTGCACTGAGATCCAGTAAAACTAAGACTGACATTTTTCCACTGTCTGTATTCAGACATATGTCATTGAACACTTTGGTCAGAGCGGTTTCAGTGCTGTGGTTCTGTCTAAAACCTGACTGGAAGGCATCGTAGCAGTTATTCTGTTTTAAGAAGTAACTGAGCTGTTGAGAAACTGCTTTTTCAATGATCTTACTTAAAAATGGGAGATTTGAGATCGGCCTGTAGTTGTTCATTTGTGTCTTGTCAAGATTGTCCTTTTTCAGTATAGGTTTTATTACAGCAGTTTTTAGTGGTTCTGGAAACACGCCTGATATTAAAGAAAAGTTGACGATCTGTAACAGGTCTGACTCCAAAGTCTTTGAGACCTTTTTGAAAAAACTTGTTGGCAGGACATCTAAACAGCAAGAGGAGGAGTTCAGTTGACCTAAGATGTCCTCCAGGTCTTTGCTGTTAATAGGGTGAAACTGTTTCATGGTGTTTAAACAGTTTTTCGGTGGACACAGTACATATTCTGGATCTGCTGTTGATGTACCAATTGCTTGTCTAATTTTAGTACCTGCTACAGTGCACACATGAGTCAAAACACACAAAGAGCTGTTTGTAGTAAAGTGAAAACAAGAGGGCGAACTGTCCTGTGTCTGCTTTTCTCCTATTTATTTATTCATTTTTAATCTCTTCCTCTTTGTGGTGAACTCTATCGTTCCCATTCCTGTTCAAGGTGACTTTTCAACCAATCAACATTTGATTAACAGATAGCACAGTGGCTGTCAAGCTACACACCGTTTGCTTTTTTAGTATGTTTCTATGACCCCCACATTGGCTTAATCCCTGCAATCTCCTCTTTCTGTGTAGCCAAACAGCTACACAAGGCATTTGAATTGTGTAGCTAACTTTAAGGAAGACCATAAAGTCTCTTGGGTCTATGGCAGGGGTGGGGAATTTCTGGCCTCGAGGGCCAGTGTCCTGCAGGTTTTAGATTGCACGTTGGGTCAACACACCTGAATCACATGATTAGTTCATTACCACGACTCTGGACATGTTGAGGAGCTAATTTAGCCATTTAAATCAGCTGTGTTGGTTCAAGGACACATCTAAAACCTGCAGGGACACCGGCCCTCGAGGCCTGGAGTTGCCGACCCCTGGTCTATGGTCTATGTTCTGTGGTAGGTCATCAGATATCCCATTCAAATTTACTAATAATTATAAATATGAATTATTGTCAGGGGAAAGCTGGTGGTTCTAACCACCTATTTCTGTTTACCTGCATGCACCCAAATCCCATTCAATAGCACTGGTCAATATTATTTGGGCAAAGAGTGGAACTTGGAACAGGAACACCAAACGCTTAACCCTTGTCTACAGTTCCTGCATATTCAAACCCATGGCTGTTTCATAGAGATAAAAAAAAAAAAAAGACAGCACTGAGTGACAGATCAGTGCAAAGAGACTGCAGTGTGCTGATAGGTTAGCTCAAACCCATTGAATATTAGATCAACGCTGGCGAGTGGCACGCCATGGGCAAGACCAGATGGAAATCCGTTTAAACAGCCAGAGCAAATGAAACATGACCCGTCAGGTTCGTCTGGTTCAAAGGTTAACTACTCAAGTCACGGATCGACCACGAGTCAGTGAGAATCTGTCTCGAGAGCTACTTTGCTTGACAAAAACCACTGCTTCCCATTCTCCTCCGAGGCAAAGGAACTACTGAGAAAAAAAGGCACTGAAAATAAGGAATTTCTGTCAGCACCCCCTTCCTGTTCAGTAGCTGCAAAGGAATGCAGGAGGCCTGGACTGAGTGAGCTCCACTTACAGAGAGGTGAGCTCCCTCGCTCTCCAAGGCTAAACTGGTATGATGGCATTCCTCTCCAACACGAGGGTTGAGAAAACAAAAAGCGGTTAGCAAAAGAGCAAAGATTTTTCCAGATAGAAACGCGTTCCCTTTTTCTTGCCAGACTTTAAGCTACAGATGTGCGATCTTCACATTTGTCAGAAATCCTGGGCAACGCCTGGTTTCCCCAACAAAAACATATAAAAATAACAGAACGAATAGTGGAATTTGTGCCTGAACGTCTCTGAGTGAACTGAGCCATCTATTATCTTTCTACCCTCAGCAGCATCCCAGACAGCTGAGCAGACAGTGAACCAAAGTTTGCATCCGCTTTAATGAACTATTAATAGTCACGAAAGGTGACTCATCAGTAGCCACAAGGCATCAGAGACGTGATGCAGTTCCCATAAAGCTATAAATATAAAACAAAGTGACAAATTAAAAACACACGGCCCTGCAAAAACAAGAAAGACTTGCCCAAAAAAGTCCTTCAGACAAAATTACATAATTTCGAAAACTATGTGACGGTAAGGGATTTGTCACTTTAATGAGCCACATCAAAGCACAAATCATTTTAAAAGACTTACCATAAATCAGAGAGAAGTGTGTTTTCCTTCAACAAAGCAACCCCAAATCAGGCCAAGCACAAACTCCCCACTCAACTATTAGGAAAATGCCAATTCCAGCACTGCTATATTTAACTTTTCTCCAAAAAGGATGTGAAATGTGGCCGGTTGAGTTGGGCCTGCTGCAAGAAGGGCCCACAAACATTACCTCACTCGCTCACTTGTCACACCCTCAACAGGAGGCGGAGTGACAACAGAAGAAGGGCACAAGTACGTGGAGCAAAGGCACAGATGGCAATGGACAAATGTGAGATGCACGGAAGAATAGAGCGTTTGTAATCACCGTAGCAAAGCTGTGGCCATAAATCTTGTGTTACACTAGAGAGTAGAGTTCAGAGCGGCTGGTTTCCAAAGACAGTTGTTTTCTTTGACAGCTGCACATGTGTTTGCATGTGTGTGTGTGTGTGTTGTAAAAATCCTGTGCTTTAACATTGAAAACAACATCAACCTCCTAAATGGATGTCTGCCTAAAAGCACATCAATACCTCTGATAGAGCACATTATTAAGAGGTCAGTCTTTGGCTATAGTACAAAGAGGATGACTCAGGAGTGCCACAGCTATATACTTTTCACTAATTAAAAACAAACAAACAAACAACCAAGCAAAAACAGAAAAATATTGTAAATATCCTAAAATACAAGATTTGGTAGCTCCAGCTGAAATTAAGCTGGACTGAAACAAATGCTCATCTGTATAGATGTGCAGTCATCCTAGTCATGTGATACCCAGCAGCAGCAAAACAAGCATAACTGGACTTGTTTTGTAGGCTTTAAGACATCTAACCCCCCTCCGTTCAAGAAGCTCTCTCGGTTCCTAGCTCATTTTACAACTGGATATCACAAATACACACAAACACAAACGCAAACACACACACTTCTTTACCAGCAGCGGCTTTAATTGTTGAGCCAAAAACAGCACATTGACGCCATTTACAATCGCCTTTGATGAATCTTTCACTCAATTTAAAGCCGAGGGCTGCTCCCAGATGGCTGAATTAAATGTGCAGAGCTGAGGCGACACACCCCGCCCCGCCAGTGTTTCATCCACAGTTACGTGGGAAATGTGAGGCACACAAATAGATTGGGCACCCTTCCCAAATGTGGTTAAGTTCAATAAGCACACACCCAACACAGTCTGCCAGAACATGGGACGTTTTTTTTTTTGTTTGTTTTTTTTTTTACACTCACAATCTTGTGCAGATGTGAAAATGACTCCTGAGCAGAAAGCCAGTCTGTAGGGCCAGCCCTTTATTTCCTGTTCAGGCTGTTGGGATAAGATCAGCAGGGCAGTACTGACAGGTAAGGAGGGAGGTGATGACAACAAATTGTTTGTGGAGTTTACTCTACTTTGACATCATGTGCTGCGAGTGCAACACCCTGGGCTGGGTTAAAGTGATATTATAAAAGCCTTAAAAGCCAGGCCATGTGGTGAATCATCATGGAAACATTCAAATGAAATGACAGCAACCACCTAGCCTTTACAATCTGCTCTCTATAGCCTACCATTGTTGGCCAAATGAAAGCATGTAGCTTTACTAAATGATGAAGGAAGTCTAAAAGGGGCTAGTACGGGAGTCCATACAGACAGAGGTGCTGCTGAATCAGCTTGTTACTCCTACAGGTAAGCAGCCACACCTACACCTATGCTATTACTCAACAAAAACCTTGCATACCATTATCCTTTATAGGCATGGCACACTCACAGTACTACAAAAGGCACAGCAACCGTAAAAAATACCACTGACATTGTATCCGATTGCTTCAAAAACCACGTTAATAAGCTGGGGCCTTTAAAAAAATGGAAAACATTAGTGACTCATTGCATTAATATTCTCTGGTGCATTTGATGTGTAGTATTAATTAAAGTTGGCACATGATTTATTTAAAATGACTTGGCATTCTAGCATAGCAATGCATTGTTTTAATGTTCAGAAACATCCATCAGCATGCGCAATTTAAAAAAAAAAAGAAAAAAAGAAAGAAGTGCAACTAAAGAGTAACCTGATCACTTTTACTGACTTGCAGAACAAGTGACCGTTCCCTTAGATCCTGATGGTGGAAGAAAGTGGGAAAACCTGTTCACTCGCACAGGTGTGAGCCTGGCTGGAAGCACAAGGTTTTTTAAAAATACACCACCCATCCACCGTCTCCAAGGTCTGGTTGGAGAGACAGCAGCGTGCACATGTAATGTCTGTGCTTTTAAATAACACATACAGTAGGCACTCTTATACTTCCACAGCATGAGCAAGGGAAAATTACACTTTACCTCAGCTATTTTGTGGAGCATAGTCTACATACCAGTACATTCATGGGCAATCTAACCACGCCAGTCAGGTTACAGTTAAAATGTCATCCAGCATTTTTCTTTCCCCACAAAGGAAATGCAATCATCACATTCACTAGCGCTGACACTACGAGAACAGCTAACAATGTATTAATCATGTTTATGAATTAAACACCTCTTGTCTCCTGCATCCTCGTATCCTGCCATACAAGTGAAACAAGATTTTAGAGAAGGCCAGACCCTGTATTCACAACACGCTTTATGTTCAAAGTCACAACATTTATAAAGTTAAAATACGGGCTTCTCTGACATTATCAGCCGACCTTGCTGATCAGCCGTGTCCTAAGAACGATCCAGGATTGGAATCCCAGATGTAAGTGAGCGCTGCAGCTCCAGATGGGCTCCAGGAAAAATCTGGTAAATCGCTCTAGGCAGTAAACAAGTTTACATAGACCACTGTTCAACACACACAGACACAGACAAAAAGTCACTTTGTGCATAAGCAAGCTGCCTTATTTTGGTTGGGAAACATTTGTCAGGCTTACCAGCACAGACCACATGAGAACAATGCTTTTTCAAGGATCAGCTACGCTAACTCTTGCACATTGAGTGCAAAGGCGTCATAGACGTTTACAGTTCATTGGCAAAAAGTGGGAGAGTCAGACCTTTGCAGAAAATAACCCACAAACAAACACACACACACACACACACACACACACACACACACACACACACACACACACACACACACACACACACACACACACAC